TGAGGATTTCATCTCAACTTTTGGATTCAAAGACTTCTCAAAATCATCCCTTATATCCCGTATTTTCTTGTTGGGGGTCAACCTGACACGAACGCTCATGTATGCTCCCCTCCCGGAGTCATCGAACACCCCAGGTGGGTGGTGAAACACAATCACATCGATCCACGAGTTGCTCAAACGCACTGTTGCCCTGCTATCAACGTTGTCTTCAATGAGTTCCCAGTCGCCTCCATTGCGAGGTCGACACCATGTAGATCGCTTCCAGTGCTTGATGCCATTCGAGACCTTGACAATCCGATTTGGCCGGATATGATCTCGAATCAGGACGTTCATGCGAACTCCTTCCACCAGTGGGTCTTCTCCATCTTTGCAAATCCAAAAGAGCCGATCCCTGTTACCCTCACGGATGCAAAAAGACACAACTTCGCTAAGGAGCTCGCCGTCCAATGTCTTCACTGACAGGTTCTTGTTGTCAAACGGTCCATCTGATGCCAAATTGTTTCGGATCAGTCGCTCAAGTTCATCGCGATCATTGGGAGGCTCTCGAGATCGTTGTGGCAACGTTGAAGTCCGAGGTCCATCCATGGCCCCTGAAGATCGGGATCCGTCATCGGTCCCTGGCACGTCCGAAATGTGCGGTGGAGGATGGTCTGGGCTCCTGGGAGCTGGCCTCGCAGATAGTGGCCTCGGCGATGGACTTCTTCCCCTGGATGCTTGTGCATGTCTCCAAGGAGGTAACTTGCGACGAAAACTTGGTGATCTTCTGCGCCTTGCGGGTGGCGACGGTGGCGTCGGCAATCTCCGTCGACGCAATGGACTCCTTGATCTCCTTCCGGTCTCGGCCATCCTTTTGATCTCAACCTGTTCTGTCCTAAGATGTCCAACATCTGTTGCAAGCCCTTGTACCAAACGTCGAATCTCATCAAGTTGATCTGATGTAGGATGTCCTGCAGTGGGGTGATCTGATGTAGGATGAGATGAATGTCCACCTGAAACATCATCGGCTGGAGCATCGCGCACGTCACGGCTTGAAGCCACATTGCCTCGTGATCGTGCCAACCTTGACATGTTCGGGATCAAATGTCGAATTTGTCCCAAGCTCGCAGCCATGTCCTTACATCCATGACAAACTCCACCACAACGCATCTCTCCCCACATCCAAGATGATGCATGAATGAGAACAACGTCATAACCAAGGACCTTGAGACACCTGTAGGCAGCAAATCCTTGTCCCACTGACCTGTGGCGACCTGACTTGCACTCCAAGTCCACCAGCACCTTACTGTCGGCTTCCTGCTGTGTGACGAACTGGAGGATGTTGTTGAGATGTTGGATGAACCTGTCTACTTTGCTCATAGTCTCAAGGATCCCATGATGCCAACCCACATGCGACCTGAGGTTAACGTCCTGATCAGGATCGTTAATGTCCTCACAGTTGATGCTCAAAGTGCTCCTGCTGGTTCTGCACGCATGTTGTTGAAATCTACGTCCACGAGTCATGATGATCACCTTCCTGTCACTGCGCAGTTCTTCATTCAACTTCGTCTGCAAGATGTCGTAGTCCCTCGAATGAAAACCACACATGTCATGGTCAGCCATGGCAACTTCCGATGTGGATGCTGTGTATGCGATGTTGTACTTTCTGTGACACTTCGGGATTTGGGGAAGTTCATCCGACGGTGTGTTGTTGATGTTGGTCAATCCTTCAGTCAAGTTCATCACAAGTAAACCTGATTTGGAACATCTCTTGATATTCAATGGTTGATCTTTGATGGAAATCACCCCTTTTGCTAGGTCCTTCACTAGGCCTAACTTGGTTTGCGCATGCAATGAAAGAAGCAATGGGCTGTTGCCTGTTGACAATTGATATGAATCCAACTCCCCATGCATGTTCCCGTCTGGAAGCAGCAGCGAAAAAGGAATAGATCTCACACCTTCGGTCTTGGTACTACCACTTCCCAGACCAGCGAAACTCTTACAACCGTCATCCTTCAATGGCATGCTGTAATCTAATCGGGCCAGTCGTGCTTCTGCATCGACTGCCCAGGCTTTGCTATGACAAGTGCTGTTGCAACCTTCATCCAATACTGCAAAAACATGGGGTGACTTGGCAATGTCAATAGTTTCATAGTTCATGTAAACCAAGTCTTGAGGGTATTGAGTGTCACTTCCATGCAAACAAATGCCAACGTACCCAGCTAACTCCCTGCCCGAGGGGTCGCCGTGCCCATCTTCATTGACAAGTGAAAAACTGTCCTCTTCCTCTGTCACGTCATTGATGGCTTGATGCAGTAGTTCATGAAGTCGTGCACGGGTCATCACCTCAGATTGGCAGGTTTCGGTAACAAGAGTGGCAAACAGGGGTAACAACTCTTCCAACTGGACTGGATTCAATCCATCCGATTCTTCAAACAATGATTCAACAATGGGGACTGTTCGAACTGATGCTGTTTCAACCTTCTTGGCAATGGCAACACGCTCCTTGCGAATCTGCATAGGAGCTTCATCAATGAAAGTGCAACACTTCTTGCAGAAAGTACGGTGTGTTGATTTGCTGGATCCCCTAAAATCGGTGTCATCATGAGGGCAATTCTCAGGGGACATCAACGGTACCATGTCACGTCTTGTTGTTTCGGAATGACCGCGCACAAGACAGGTCTTCCTGATGGTGTACCCCGTAGAACCTTGTTTTGTAAACTCACGACATTCCTGACACTTGTTCGGCAAAGGAGGATTTGGGGGTTTCTTTCTGCCAGTTCCCCGAGCCACCAACAAATCTCGGTGCTCGACATGCTCAACAGGGACTTCGCACAAGTGAATCCCATCAGCACCAACCACAAAGTACTTGTCAACCCAATTCAACCATGTGACATAGTATGGACTCTTGGGGGTATGTTTCTTGGCATGATGATAGTACCCTGTCTGTTCAAACAACACATTCCAAAAAGACAAACCCTTGAACTGTCCAACAGGAAAGATGCACCCATGGTCCTCGGGTCTCATTGTAACATCGAGATCCCGGGAAATCAAGCCAACGTTGCTGCTGGATGCTGCTGCACGTGAAGGTCTGCTGCTAGGCTTCGCTTGTCGAACTGCCATCATAGCAACTCCATCTCTGTCACGATCAGGTGAAGCTGTCAAAAGTCACACCATCGTCATCTGAAGAATCGCTCATATCGGCAAAGTGAGCTGCGGGCTTTGGAGCTGACTTTCCTGGGGCTCCGGCTTTCGACCCCGGGAATTTACATTCCGGGTCACCGGCCCAGTGCCCTATGACTCCGCACCTCAAACATTTGCTCTTCGACTTCAGCTCTGTGAGCTTACGTCTCCTCTGATCGATAGTGAGGTTGGACTTCACGATCTTTCCTTTGCCTTTTCCTTTGGGCTTGCCAAAGGATTTGCCCTTGCCACCTGCTTTCCCCATCGCAGTGAAAGCAGCAAGTTGTAGCTGGATAGCGTCTCCTGCTTGTCGATCATCTTCCGCACCTTCAAGGTCAAGCAAGCTGTTCAATGCAACTGCTTCGTACTCATCGACGTCGTCAAAGTAATCAAATTCGTTGTCACCTTCTAGGTTTCCTGGCTCCTCTTCTGCAATGTCACCAAGCATGCCAACATATGAATCATCCTCCCAGGATTGATCCACAGCTTCATCCCAAGATTCTGCATGTTCCTCCCCATTATCGGGGTAGGCTGCATAAGCTGCTTGGGAATACGATCCCTTCGAAGAAGGTTTGCCTTTGCCATAACCTTTGCCTGACGACTTGCCATGCTGTTGAGGATTACCACGTCCTGTCCAGGATCGTGACCCTTCTCGCAAGTGAGTGCCACTGTAGTTCTCGATCAGCACCTTGCCAACACCTTCAAAATCCTTAGTGTCTGCACAGGCCTTCACAACGAGGATCTCCTGTCGATTGAGCCCACTCAACTCTAACATCAACTCTGTCCTCAAGCTGTCCGAAAACACCATTGTGTCATCCAACTCGCATAGCATGTGCCACCAACGTCGTCTCCTCTGAACATAGGAAAGCATGGGTTCGCCTGGTTGGCGAGACAAAGGACCACCTTGCTTCTGTCCTGCTCGAAATAATTCCTTGGCTTCCTCACGGGCTCTTGGAAACACATGGGATTTGATCTCACCCACAAGTTTCACAAGGCCACCAGGTTTGGACAACACTTCAAGTCCAAGATCCCTAGCTATTGAGAAAGCATCTCCTCTCAGTCCTTCAATCACCTTGTTGACCAATGGTCCACGGTCAATGTCTGTCTTCTGCTTGCCGGACTTCGAGGATTTTCGGCTCGCTCCAGACTTCGGAGTCGAGACTGCTGATGTAGGCTGGGCTGCTTGAGTAGCACCCGACAAATCTGGAAAAGTAGCATACTCATCTGCATCTTCTGCGGCAGGCTCTGTTGCTGTGGTCCCAACGGGATCCGCAGGCTTACTTGTCTCCTCCTCCAATTGTTGCTCATAAAGACGAATCCGAAGGAGAGTCCTGAACTGCCAATCATGAAAGTTCGCCGCATCACCTGCATAGATGTATGATCCACTCTTCGTCTCAAGTGGTGCCGACGAATGGCGCTCCTGGCTGAAACGAAGGCCATTGATCGACATGATGCTCGCTCCGTTCGGAGTCGAACAAGAAGAAAAACTGCAGACGATAAGATTCTTATCGTCTGCTTTCAGGCGTTAACAAGTGCCTGCCCTGGTCAGGGTCAGACAGATTCCCGAACCACGACACACTCGAAGTTCAGTTGATTCCCAAAGTTACCAGACTCAAATTCACAAAGAGTTCCCTGGGTCACTGACGTACCACCGGATGCAGGTCGTCACCTGCTCCGCTACCAATATGAATTGGAAACGGGATCGTCAAATGCCCAACTTTTACCACGGCAGCGCGGTATGACTCAAGGGCCCTAAAGCCAAATGTCAACGGGGGCATGTGATCACTTGGCTATACAAAATATACATTAGACAGGTCAAACTCACACTTGTGTTGAAGACGCCTTACTCAGCAATTGTCGAACAAACACTCCATTGCAGGTGACAGTCGCACGCGGTAGTCGCATGCCGCAGCTGCCCTCAATTTTTCAACCGCAACTGGCACACGGCCAAAGTGGCAGCACCTGTTGCATCACTGAACATGTCCAATTGGTGCAGGTGGAATGAACCCTAGCACATTGGGATCTATTCATTTCGGAGTCCATGTTTGGAAAGTATTCACTATTAGGGGGACGGGATGATATGGAGACCAATAGGGACTACAGCTGACTACAACTGAAAGCATTAGTTTGTTTTGTTTGTAATGTACCATGACTATCATGCTGTTCTGCACATGTGAAAATCGAAGCCTTGCTGTATTCGTTGGATTTGTTGAGTGCTGTATTTGGCAATAGAATCCACACTTCAGGCGGCACATATGGCGTTGGCAGACCGTTGCACGTGCGAAGAACACTTGAACAGTAGTGCAGGTTTCGTCTCCCCCAAAAAATACAATATGGGGGTTTCCTAAAATAGGGTACCCGGGTACCCCCAAATCATTCATGTTAGTAAGATTTTCCCTTATAAACTATCCATTTCCGGGATCCCGCATTTATGGAAACCCCCATATCACAAATGGGTTCAACTTCAGGGCTTGCCAACGCTTCAGGGTTTGTTCCACAGAACGTGTCTGGCCCCACCCGTTCCAGGTTTCCTTGCCTTTGACTGGCAGCAAACATGCTGCATGCTGCCGCCGCCCTCTACTGCAGAACTAGCCGTCCATTGAAACCACACCATCTTTGCCCATGTCCTTACAACATGTACCCTCTGGTAAACTAACATAGCTATGGAAAATCACCACTTTGAAAAGGTATATCAACTATAAATGGGCCATTTTCAATAGCTATGTTAAATTACCAGAGGGTATGGCAATCAGTGCGCGCATGTGAAACTGAAGGTCCATTATTGAGGAGCAGCAATTGGGTTGAACATGATTTCCAACGTCAACAACAATAACAAAAAATGAACAATGAACAACGAACAACGCACAACGAACACAAAAAAACAAAAACAAAAACAAAAAAACAACAGCAAACAACAAACAACAAACAATAAACAACAATCAAACAACAACAGCAACAACAACAACAACAACAGCAACAGCAACAGCAACAGCAACAACAACAACAACAACCACAACCACAACCACAACCACACCCACAACCACAACCACCACAACAACCACAACAACCAACAACCAACAACCAACAAACAACAAACAACAACCAACAACCAACAAACAACAAACAACAAGCAACAAACAAACAACAAACAACAAAGAACAAACAACAATCAACAATCAACAATCCAACAACAACCAACAATCCAACAACAATCAACAATCCAACAACAACAACGACGACGACGACGACGACAACGACAACGACAACAACAACAGCAGCAGCAGCAACAACAACAACAACATCTACAACAATTGAAGCACAAACCGTGAAAACTGAGAGATTGGATGGGTGACCGTGGTATTGTTTATGAAATCAGACATAAACAAAACACACGACTGGATGAGAGCGATAAACACATCAATATTCGGATGAATGACTGCAAGAATTATCACCGGAAAAAATGAAAAACAAACGAAATACAAAACCAACATGAACCAACGGCGGGACGTACAATTGCATGCATGCATGCAGGCATGTATGACTGTATGTATGTAGGTATATAGGTATGTATAGGTAGGTACAGGTAGGTAGGTATAGGTAGGTAGGTAGGTAGATAGATAGATAGATAGCTAGATAGATAGATAGATAGGTAGGTAGGTAGGTAGGTAGGTAGGTATATGTATGAATGCACAATGGGCTTTTGTGAGTCCAGCCCAGCGGAAGGATCCTCCCATCCATGAAGAATCTAAATAAAAAGATCGATTGGATTTCAACTGACTGGAAGGACTCTTTGACCGAACACAATCAAAAGCCTCGCGTGGAATGAATGAAAGGAATCAGGTGAAACAAAGCAAATCCAGAAGAAAACAACTTGAAATATCCACAGCAAGGACTGATTGTGACTGATGGGTTGTATGAGCAAACAAGTTGACTGAATGCACGGCTGAACAAATGGATAAAGGGATGGGTGGATGAATGAATGCTTGAGCGACTGGATAAATGAATAAAACTGTGTAAAGAATGGTTGTGGTGACAATGGTGGTGGGAACGACTATTTTCCTGTTCTTGATGATGATGATGACGACGGCAAAATTTTACGTCTGAATGGCAAAAGGATGGATGAACAGAACGACCCAGAGACATGAATGGGGTGCAAGCATGAACAGGAACGACATGACCGGCAGGAACATGAATCATCAGGGCCAGGGATGGACAGATCGACATAAGGGTGAAGAATGGAATGAAGGAAAAACCTGAGAAGCATCGAACTTGCCAAGCCACCAAGGCTTCGAATGCCGGAGCTTGCAGACTCCGCCGGGCTGGCGCCTATTTGCAGAACAGAAAGCTCCCAGGCAAACAATCAGACACTTTACCGTCCAAGCTTACGTTCTCTAACAACATTTGCAAATATTTGTTGGCATCCAGATTGCCTAAGCCTAAGCCCGTTAATCTTTCAGTGGCAGCAACCATTAAGGTTGCAAAAACCTTGGAACTTTGCTGATCTTGTGGCGCCTTTCCTTCTCCCGACACTCACAGCCACGCCTCGACAACAGCATCTGTTGGCCTGCCAACACCGAACAGCATGCTCTACCAGCTTCAACAAAGCCGCTCGGCAAGGCCATTTATACTGATTATGAAATATGACGACTAGCAACATTAATTTCTATGAAAAGTAGTAATAGCAACTAACCTATGATTTTACTAATGGCACACATTTCAAAATCAGATTATCCTTGGCAGAATGCAGCAAGTTGGGCCATTTTGTTAGTTTAATTGAATGTGAGGACTGACACCAACGTTGTAAGGGGCAGCGTAGACCCAGACGTGAAAGTCAGTGCAGTCTCCAAAACAACATACAAACCGCATGGGACGCACCGCATTCAGGAAGTCAGTGTAGTCAGTGGAAGACAAGGCGAAGCACCACGTGGACTCTACATTTGGAAGTGCTATAGCTGATGCATCAAAGCTATGTTTTCGGCTAATGAAAGTGTGCAAACCCCCTGGACTTGCGCCATTGGACTTGGGGGGTTGCTTGGGTTGGGAGGACCCCGGGGGCGGCACTAAGGGTTGGCTCCCGATGAGCACCTCCTTTACCTGCTCCTCGAAGTCGGCGTAAGTGTGACAGTGCCCTCTTTCTCCAACTGGGTTGCTGCTGCTGCTGCTGCTGCTGCTGTGCCTGCCGCTACTGGGGCTCTGGCTGGGCCCTGTCGCACGTTGCCGTTGATGGGATTTCTTGGTTTACCTGTACCATTTCTGTGATTGGCCCAGGCTACCATGCTTTCATTTCCGCTTCTTCCCTGGGCTGGCCGGTGCGCGCGTCTTTTCTTCTTTTCTCCCTCTCTGTTCCCGTGCTTTCCTTTGCCTTCCTTGTTTTTGTTTCGTTTTGTTTCCTTTGTGTTGCTTTTGTTTTCCTTTCTTCTTCTCCCCTTCTGGTTGGGTTGTTTTTGTGGTTTCGTGTGCTTGGTATTTTGGGTTCTCTGCTGCCCTCCCCTGTGTTGGGGCTTCGGCTCGTTTCGTGCGGCTTCGGCTCGCCGCGTCCACGTGGTGTTGGGCATCTGCCCGCCCGTGTCACGCCCTGTCGGCGGCGTGGATGGGTCAGACTCTGAGTCGTCGGTGGACGAGGCCGATGGGGATGTTCCTTCTGATCGGCTTTATCTTGCAGTGGGGCAACATCACTTGATCCCTTCTTTTTCTGGTGGGTGTGTGGCATCGCAGTGAGTTGGAAAGAGTCTCAGGCTGCTCGGATTGCAGCTGTTCAGTGCGGTGGCGTTGGTCGGGATCGATACCTATGGGGTCGGAAACACGGATCCGCGGGGATGACAATCATGTGCAAGCTATACGCGGCCTCTGGGACTCTGGTTTCTTAGCTGCCTCGCATGGAGCTCCTAATTGGCCCAATTCGTAGCCAGGACCTGGGCCGATATGCAGACCTTGAACACGTGTGGGCGGTTGGGGTGGCCATTGCAGTCCGTAAGGATATTCACGGTCACTGATTTCACATACAACGAGATTCTGTCGGGCGGGGGGTTGCTGGGATTGTTACACTGAGTTCGGGTGTTGTGCTTCGGGTCAGTCATTGGTATTTTACCGGGTTTGATGCCGTTGCCAGTCGGGTCTCCGATGAAGGGCACCTGGTTTCCTACCTGCGCGCGCAGTTGGTGCTTTGCTGGGATAAAGGCTAGTATCATCTTGGGGCTCACCTTTCCCTTTGGCTTTTTGTTTGATTTCTGCTTCGGTCCCTTTCCCTTGCTAGTTTGGGCCACCTGAAGCTGTCAGGGAGGACTTGCAATGACATTATGGCGGTTGGTTGGTTTATCGGAGCTTGTCTGTCGATCTGCCGGTGTAAGCCGCCACAGCCACAGCAACAACAACAACAACAACAACAGCAACAACAGCACAGACAAAGTGTGCAAAACACCATGTGGATCTATGTGGAGATATGTGGACGTAGGTGACAAAATCATTCGAGAAATCCATTGATTTGAAGTTTTCGCATACAAAACACCATGTGGACACATATGCAAAGGGGAGAAGCAAAACTTACATGAATCAGCTCCATTTCATCACAATTCGCTTGTACTTGTGCTTGATATTGGTTCTGACAATTTTGCATAGGCAGAATCTGGGGTCGCACATTAGCAGGCACAGGCATGGTTTCGCTTGATTCTGAAACCTTTGGACGTTACCAGCACACAGGAGAGACATATTGTTTTTCTCCTCCATACCGGAAGCACTTGGTCAATCTGCTTATCAGTTGTTGTTGGCTAAAACATGGATCTTGAATCATGCAACACAATCAGGGAACACCAATCAATATCATCCATTCGTATATAGTAGCTGCAACATGTTACAATAAAAAACAAACATAACAAACAAAACACCACCTGGACACAACATCGCACCCTCACCTAGGACGCATGATTTTTGAGAACGCTTCGGACTTCCACACTGGGGAGTAGCAAGCTGGGGATCAGACTGTTAGCACTCTTTTTTCACTCATGAAGGAAACGCAGGATATCTCACAGATCAAATTAGCCGCTATTACACGCTATCTGGTTGGTGGTTTCAACCCCCCTGAAAAATATTAGTCAGATTGGATCATCATCCCAACTATTGGGGAAAATAAAAAATGTTCCAAATCACCAACCAGCTGTGGTTTCAAATAGCTAGCCACTTTTTGGCTCCGTTGGATGAGAGATGATCTGAGAAGGTAGGCCCTCACATGTATCATATGTATCCCAGTTCCAGAGCTGCGCCGTTTTTTTTTGTGTCCGACTGGGCACAATATCTAGCTATGTGTGGCAGGGGAAAAAACCTGAAACCAATGATTAGGCTTCAAGTCCCAGCTTTTGTTTTGTACGTATGTATCTTGAGACATACCCATGTGAAGGCGGGAGTGCCCAGTAGGCCTACAAGCTAAGTCAGCACCCGAAGTCCGCAAAGTATCAGGAAAGGAATGCCATAACCCCCGCTGAGACAATGCACATCATTAATTTATTTGGGCACCTTTTCCATCAGCCGGAGAGGCGGTCCGCGGCTAGCCCCAAACAAGAGGAATCGTGGAACTCGTTGAAGACATTGTTGAATCTGATTGAACCGCTGCTTTAGCATCTAGCCATAACAATTAATTTCATGCCTGGCATTTTTAGTAAAACCTGGTATTTTGGTAATTTCCAGAACCAAAAAACGGGGACTGATGGCCAAAATTTCTGGTTTCCATACATCCCTCCCCAAACATAAAATATTGGGACGCGTCTTGAACCATTTCCATACATACAAATATTATCAAATATTGGAATACCGTGGCATTTATCAACAAAAAATTGCTTCAAGAATCATCCCCAAACGAATCCGTGGTTCACCGCTGAACCGTGGGACGTACGTAGCCTGGTTTTTGTTTTGAAGTTGTTTTTCTCATCTGTTCTATGTTCTATGTGGGCTGCAAGGTTTCACCATGTTTCACCATGTTTCACCATGAAAACCATGGATCACCCAATACCTAGATCTGATAAAATTCTCCGTTGCAAGGCAGGCACTGATCATAGAATGAAGCATGATTCAAATTCACAACATACGATCCTCTCCGGTCAAAAAAATGGTCCATTTAGAAATGAGTTACCTACAACAATGGTGATTTTTCAGAGTAAAGTGCCATATTGCCAGTGGCCATATGCATCCACCCTGTCATAGCCATGGCTTAGAAACGGCGCCTAGAGATCATCATAGGTCCGTAATTTTTGACCAATGTGGTATTTGAATTTGCACGTTTACCCAATGATATGTGGTTGGTGGTTGACCTACCCCTCTGAAAAATGATGGAGTGAGTTCGTCAGTTGGGGTGATGGCATTCCCAACTGAATGGATAGTCATAGAATTACATGGTTCCAGTCACCACCAACCAGCAATGATATGGCAGTGTGTCAAAACCTTGTACCCCTTCTGTTCACATCAAAATAGCTGGTAAATGGATGTTCATCCCACTAAAAATGGTATGAAAATAGGTATTGATCCGTACCCATATGTGGTTTTTAGCTCGTGATGGCATTTTTGATTTCTGAAGGTTTTGTCATGTGGATTCACCCAATGCAACCATCCCATTGACCAACCACTTGGAGGTCATGATAGACATCTGGTGATTTCATAAACCAAATATTGTAAAATATGGTAAACTATTGTAAAATAATGAGGTATACCCAATTTCATAAACCTCAAATTTTGGGATGGTGATGGATGGTGACTATATGCAATTAGCTTTACCTCATTATGAATTTCTTTGTCAGGTTGACCCGACCATGCCCCAACATCCAAAAGATTCCAAAAGTGTGTTGGTATCTTCCGATGGACATGTCAACCAGGTGTCATGAGCACACATTAATGTCACCACGCCGACACGCACAAGCGCGTTGGCACATCCGGCACAGTTGGCACGTGCCCTGTGTCGCGATGCACCACGATCCAAGGTATCTAGTTGCTATCTATATATATATACTGTATGCTCTGGTTATTTAACATAGCCATGGTATAGATGGCCCATAGAAATAGCTGGTTTACCGAACTTAATAGCATGGTGGATCTTTCCATGGCTATATGCAATAACCAGATGGTAGTTATCTATAGTTGCTATCAACGGTGGATAAAAAACCGACGTTTTTTTGGAGATGTTGTGGGTCAGGATGTAAGATGCTTGACCCTCTGATGTTTATAACATTGTATAAATTGCACTGAAGTAGCTGCTTCCTGCTTGGGTACAGTAAATATTCCAAAGCCATAAACTTAACCATCGTAAATCATAAATCATCATACACCCAGAAAATACCATGTACTTGTTTTGGTTTGCACATGTTACCAACCAAGGGCTTGGTAACCGCATGGGTTGTGTCCTCACCTGTTTACTGACGATGGAGAGCTGACAGCCTCCCGCTGTTCCTAAGTGGACTGACCTGGACTGGGTCTGGCGATTGTTGGACTTGTTTGGGAAACCCTGAAACTCCTTGCATAATGGTAAAGTACCCCAGAAATATGTTTGCTGAGTTTGTTTGCAGAGTTTGAGTTGTACGACAAAACCCACTCCAGGGCACCCCTTCTGGAATCAACTAATGGCTGCACCAAAAATTGAAACCAACATATCACATATCAAACAAAGACTTGACCCACAGTCAAATCCCATTGGGATTTGATGGTTCCAGCCCCAAAGGATGGCCCGTCGAAGGGGCATCCACAAAAAAACCATGATTGACATGTGCCAAGTATCTTGCAAATGTTCATGCAAACCTTCTTGTCTCCGCACCTGATCAAGAAGAGAAAAACCATGGCAAACCATGGTTAGATTTGACCGTCTTGTTTTGTTTTGTCTCAAAATAGGGTGCACCAAAAGCCAGTGGATGATCGTCTTTTTCCACATTAAGTGACTTGTTGGGGGTAAATCCCCAATTCATAGTCACTGTATATCTATATAGTACTGTCATGATAAGTTGTTCAGATATATCTCATTGTATTCCCAGTGACTCCCACTAAATGCCAATGTTGAATAGTTAGATCTTCTGAGACCATGGATCTTCAGTCTTTATCAAATTTGTTGGTGCTCAGCGCAGTAAACATTCTCAGGCATTCCTGCGACCAGGACCAGAAGGCCCGGTGCCGTTGGCGTCCTGAATCTTCAATGTGATGGCATACATATAAAATGGTAATTAGTAGTATATGCACGAATATTCTCCAAAATATCGAACATCCCAAACGCAACCATGTACATATATATATATATATAAATACGAACAACACATAAATCCCATAAATTCATGTAATTTGTATAAAAACCCATAAATGTACATAATGTAATTTTCAGCCAATATTATCCCATTAACAAAATCCCATATCTCATTTTCAGCCAATCGAATCTTCCCGTGTGGCGTAGGTCGTGCGCCCGTGCCTCGTGTGGCAGCTGCCATTCAGGATGCCCAGCCAAGATGGCCAAGATGGATCGGCGCTTGCCTCGGCCCCGTGGGGCGGTTGGGGTTGGGGTTGGATGGTCAACGTGGGGGCTGATGCAACCAAATATAGGGGTTATATATATATATATAGTATGTAAGTATGTAAGTATGTATGTATATGTAAATATGTATGTGTATGTATGTATATGTATGTATGTGTATGTATATATGTGTATGCATATGTATGTATATGTATATGTAAATATGTATGTGTATGTATGTATATGTATGTATATATGTGTATGTATATGTATATGTATATGTAAATATGTATATGTAAATATATATGTGTGTGTATGTATATGTATGTATAAATGTGTACATGTATATTTGTATGAAAGTAAGTAAGTATGTATGTATGTATGTATGCCTGTATGTATGTATGTACGTACGTACGTATGTATGTATGTATGTATGTCAATGTATGTATGTAAATGTATGTATGTAAATGTAAATGTATGTAAATGTATGTAAATGTATGTAAATATGTATGTATGTATGTATGTATGTATGTATTTAAATGTATGTGTATATGTATGTATATGTATATGTAGATGTATATGTATATGTAAATGTATGTATATGGATATATATATATGTATGTATATGTATGTATGTGTGTGTATATGTATATATGTATGTATGTATGCATGTATGCATGTAGGTATGTAGGTATGTAGGTATGTAGGTATGTAGGTATGTAGGTATGTAGGTATGTAGGTGTGTATGTATTGTTGTAAATGTATGTATGTAAATGCATGTGTATACAAAAATATGTATATGCATATGCATATGCATATGTATGTGTGTATGTATGTGTGTATGTGTGTATGTGTGTATGAATGTATGTATGTATGTATGTGTATGTATGTGTATGTATGTATGTATGTATGTATGTGTGTGTAGGTATGTATCTATGTATGTATGTATGTATGTATGTATGTATGTATGTGTGTATGTGTGTATGTGTGTATGTGTGTATGTATGTATGTATGCATGCATGTATGTATGTATGTTTGTATGTATGTATATTACAAAATGAAAAAATAGAGATAAAGGTACAAATAAATATAGAATGTACTTGGATTGTTTGTCAAGCGGTTGATACGGCGCCCTGTGAAAGTGTGTTCATTTTGGAGGTCTTGGGTTGGGGTGGGGTGGTGATGTGTCAGCGTTCTTGATAGGACGTCTTGCATTGTGCAGGTTGGGCGGGGATGTGTTAAAGAGATACACGTACAAAATAGCATCTACAGAGTTTTCAGCGAAAATTGAACTCCAAAGTGAATCCGATGGCTAAAAGTAAGCTAATGTTGTCTGACCAATAGTGATATCTTGTCAATAGTAGAAACATTTTTCCGCAACTCCAATTTTTCTCCAATACTAAAAGTCAATTAGCTCTATTTACTTTTAGTATTGCCAAAAGAGTCATGTTCAGACCTTGTCCAGAGGGCATGACCAATAGTGGACCCAACATGGCAATAGTGGAAACTTTTTTCCCAACTCCAATTTTTTCTCCAATACTAAAAGTCAATTAGCTCCATTTACTTTTGGTATTGCCAAAAGAGTAAAGTAAAGCAACTCCTTTTCAAAGCAGCCTTCACTTTTGATTAGCAAAAGCTTAGATTCCAGAAATCTGATCCAATTACCAAACAGCTGATTTCCTTATAAAACCCTTGTTAAAAAGAGCAAGAAAACAGGTCCACAAAGGGTACCCCCTTTGCAAGCCTCAGAATAGCAATAACAAACCTGCACCAGGCATGGCAATAGTGGAAACTTTTTTCCGCAACTCCAATTTTGTTGTCCTCCTTCTCCTTCTCCTTCTTCTCCTTCTTCTCCTCCTCCTCGTCCTCCTCCTTCGCCTCCACCACCTCTGCCCCCGCTTCCATGTCCACTTCCGCCTTGCCAACTCAAATTTTTATAGGAAGGTTGACCCCCCCTAAAAAAAATAAGAAAAAATAAAAATTAGGGGGGGGAGGGGTAATTACTATTAGGCAGCCAACATTACTCCTATGTGTGGCGGCACAATGGGAACTGTGAAATCCTCTGGCGCTGATGTTGCAAAAAGGCGTTACTGCAGTTGCTAACGCCGTTCATTTACTTAAACCGCTCCAATTTCAATGTTTTCTTTTCGGTGCCTTCAATGCAAAAATGCCGTTTGTTAGAGCGAAATAGTGCGAAAGAGTGAAATATTCATTTGACTGTAAAGTCATGCGCCTGTGCTCGAAAAGTCACACATGAAGTGTCATGGGCATGTCCAAAAGAAACACAAATACCAAGTTTCCATCGCAAAACCCAGAACAACTGAATTTGAAATTCGATCACCCATCATATAGCGCCGAATCAACCGTCTAACTTGCTTATAGGTTGATGGTTTCAACCCATCACCCGAATATTCTCGTAAACTTACATTATACTAATATTGGTAATATTTGTCAAATATGGATGGACGCATTAAAATAACTGAGGCACATCTGCAAGCCGCCCTCTGGTAAACTAACTGCTATGGAAAGTGGTAAAGTGGCCCATTTAGTTCGATGATCTACCCAAACTGTCCATTATAACCAGCTATCCTCCATTTTCTGTGGTTCAATCCCCGGTATTGTTGGTTGAAGATGATCGTTATCCCAAGTTGTCTGGCTGGTAGGTCCCAATCCCTGAAAGCAAATCCAGTTGGGATCAACATCCCCCAGAAAATGGACGGGAAGTGAAGTGGCTAACTCCAATCACCTTCTTGGGTAATAAATATTCCCACTCTAGGACTCTAGATCATGATATCAAGCTATAGCGTATATCAACCCATACGTCCCCATTTTCAAAAAACGCCAATCCGTAAACTGGTTGGTTTACCCCAGCTGCAACTGGACCCTATGCAATTCAGAATCCATCATTTTTGGTTCAATTCCCACCCCAAAAAACATTTTGAGTTGGTAAACTGTATGCTTATATATCCTATATATACGATATCCCAATTGTGTATCATTGTAGCTCCATGAAAAAGGGTTTGGTAAATCATACATATATGTTGCCTGAAAATACGGTACCACTAAATCTGACGGTAAAGAGCCTCTTGTTCTCCATAAACAAGAAAGATGCAATACTTTTGCTGCAAGACAAACATTTTATGGATACCACATGTTCGGACCTGCTCTGGGGCTTTGGGTATCCATTTTGCGTCAGTTTGCTACAGGCACATTGAGGGGCTACTACCTTCCCAGCATCCAGTAGCCAAAAGAGCAGTAGGGAAAACAACTGACACAGAAGAAGATGCGCGGCCCGGATCTTTTGGTCTGAGAGGCGCCTAAGCATAGTTGAGCAAATCTAGGACTCTGGAGCCGTTACCACCACAGAAACGATCACCCCATGTCACTACGCTTCCATCTGCCAAGATCGCAGCAAAAGCCAAGCCTGTTTCAAGAGGCTTCGGCAGCGGTTAGTTGGAAAAAAATAGCATTGGTCTGGATAGATTCCTGTAGTTCACACAGGTGTAAAGCCATGTTGGAATACTTACCCCAATCTTAGCCTCAGTGACGTGGCAGGGTTCGGTTATACTTATCCAGGTTCTATCCAGGATATTCCCTCCCCATTGTGCCACCACTTTGACTGTTAAATCATGATTTCTTGCTGGAAAATCTTTGGCAATTTTCTACCTCCTGAGCAAGTCAATGATTAGTCCTACCCATGATGTCCGTAGTATGCCTCGTTTCCTAGCAGTGACGCATTTGGATTTGCAATGGTTTACAGGCGCATTTGACTGACAGATACTCCTGTAGTCCCAAAGACATTGAGGTTTCCTAAAAGGTGTCGGGCTGGTAGAAACCCACAATGAATTCTGTGTTTTTTTAGACTTTCATGACCCGCTGAAGATGTACTGACTTCTGGGTCGTTAGAGTTGTTGAAGTTGACTTAAGATATGGATAAGTTATAAACGCCAGCAAGGTGAAAACTGGGCTAGCGGTTGGAACTGTCTCAAGTATTCTCAAGTAACTTCCGACACGGTCTTGATGCTATGCTCTTTTCTTTCTGAAGAAACTTCCAGCAAGCTCTTGATGCTACACTCTTATCTTTCTTAATGACTTCCAACACGCTCTTGATGCTATGCTCTTTTCTGAAGTAACTTCCAGCAAGCTCTTGATGCTACACTCTTATCCTTCTTCAATTACTTCCAACACGCTTTTGATGCTATGCTCTTTTCTTTCTGAAGAAACCTCCAGCAAGCTCTTGATGCTACACTCTATACTCTTATCTTTCTTAAATGACTTCCAACACGCTCTTGATGCTACACTATTTTCTTTTTCAAGTAACTTTCAACACGCTCTTTATGCTACACTCTTTTCTTGATCAAGTAACTTCCAACATTGGGACATGCTGGTTTGCACACGAAAGTCACTCACTCAGCAAAGAAGAATAACCACGCACGTCAAACTTTATAATAATTCTTCCATCACAGAAAACAAAGTTAGTTTGTAATGGCCTAAAAATGTGGAAAAACATGAATGTACTTTCAATACCATGCAAATCTACTCATGACAATCAAAAAACACGCGGGTTTCTACCAGCCCGACGCATCCTGAAATACGGATACTCCCAAATCATCCATTTTAAAAGGATTTCCACTATAAACCATCCAGCTATTGGGTAGCCCCATTTTAGGAAACCCCCAAATTGAACGGGAATCACGTTCCAGAAACCCCACTTGGACCACCTCAGTTGGCAAGTGGTTTGTAACTTCAACTATGGGGACAACTGCAGGTACGGAACCTCCTCACCGTGTCGCATCCAGGAACCATACAAGCTGAACATCTACAAACAATGGCCAGTTGGAAGTGTTTTTTTTGACACATCCAGCTAGTTTGGTTGGTGGTTGAACCACCTCCGGAAAATGTTTATCGGTGCAAAGTCATTGGGGATGATCATCCCTGAAAAACCACTAGTTGAAACCAGCTACATCTGTGTATACACATAGATATCTGGTTGGTGGTTGACCTACCCCGAAAAATGATGGAGTGAGTTCGTCAGTTGGGATGATGACATTCCATTCCCAATTTTTTATGGAAAGTCATAAAAGCCATGTTCCAGTCACCACCAACCAGATATACACAATGCAATTCCACAAAAACTGGCTTGCGCTACTGAAACCACACAAGTTGATGCAAAGAATCTAACCACGAGTCTGGGAAAGTCATTTTGAAACCATAAGTAGCGGTGGAAAGCGACAAACCGACAAACCAGAAAATTCATGAAAATTCTACAAGGTAGCCCCCTAGTTGGTGATAGCTAAGTTGCTTTAGTGCCCCCCAGTTTGACTGGGGTTAACCAGCAAACCAGCAACAGTTTGCTGGTGCTGGGACAACCCCAACATTGGATCTTCAAAGTGATGCGGACTCGAGTCGCTTGGAAAAACACGTCCAGATGTCCGCGAGTCCGCTGAGCGATGGATTTTGTCATGTGTCTTCTCGAAAACGAGAAAAAACAGCAACAAACACCGAAAAATGGTGATTCAAAATGCCCAACAACACTCTGAACATCACCATTTAGAATCATCTGAATTGTATATTCATGAGGATATTCATCTGAGTTATACAGTAATATTTAGGGCAGAACATCTCTCATGGCCTGAACAAAACATTGGCATGACCCTTTTTCTGACCGTCGTGTTCTTTATCTCGGTCATTTTCCCGTGAATCAACAAATAAAACGGTTGATTACATCCAGTTTTTTGTTTCTGACATGGTAGAGTTGTTGTTGTTGTGTGAGCGCCTTTTCAATATACAGATCTGTTTCGCTGAGTAATAATGAGTAATATATATATATATACCCTCTGGTTGTTTAACTTATTTAACATAGCGAAATGGAAAGATCCACCATGTTTAAGTTCGGTAAACCATCTATTTCTATGGGCCATCTATACCATGGCTATGTTAGTCATAGCCAGATGGTATATGTAATTATATCTATATCTACTGGATTTCTTGAATTCCCACATCAAAAGCATATTTTGTTGACTGCAGAAAAAAAATAACTCACCAGATCATGACATATATCAATGGGAGATCTCCAGGATCCAATACATGGAGGTACGTAAACGTACCATATGTTTGGCCATATGAATTGTGGTGATATTCACTTTTAGGATCCTGAAATTCCCATACAGAATATACGAATGTAATATTCAGTACTGGTGGCTAAACTCCCTCAAACCCCTTGGTTGCTTGGTGAACAACCCATGGTTTTTAATGGTTCAATCCACATCAATTGATATATCCCAGCCTGTGGCTTAGATTACCATATGTTTCCGAAAGCTTCCCCAATCTGTTCGTTGCTTAAAAGCCGCATAAATTCTGTTGTTGAATGCCCATGTCCGGTTGGAGTCCTCACGTTTTGGTGTTTTGGTGGGCAAAATCCCCCATGCTGCTTGGTCCCTCAGCATGATTATGTACAGCACTGTGAAATCATCAACCATCACTTATCAATAATATCCCAATAGTTCCCAACAGCAGTGACTGGGTTTCAATCCCTCTGGGAGTGGTGCATCTCTTGCCGAACCGGAGCCATGTAAATGATGGCTACCCTGTAAACTAATTTCGATCTGGAATCTGGAACACCATGGGTTTTCCACATCTATGAATCTACAGTATGTTCGTTTACCCTAGAATAAATCCCCATGTGTCAAACAAACTCAATCAACATTGTCGGATAAACATGGAGCACTTCCGAAGCATTGAAAAAACTAGGTTGAACCTTTGTCCTTGATTCTTGATAGACAAATCACGACAAATCGTTCAGGATCACCTGTGTTTTGGTATGGATCGGGGGTATGGATCAGCGGGTACCATTAATCTGGACCTTAGAAAATATGAGCCATGGAATGCTATAGACACGTTCATCAAAAACTAGGATTTTTTGGGGTACCCTCTGGTAAACTAACATAGCGAACTGGAACATCACCATGTTTAAGAGGTAAATCATCATGTTTATCATCTATTTCTATGGACAATTTTCAATAGCCATGTTAGTTTACTGGATGATAAACATGATGATTTACCTATTAAACATGGTGATTTTCCAGTTCGCTATGTTAGTTTACTGGAGGCTATGCCCCATTTTCAGACACAGCCATAGATTCAGTTCACCACCCGTCTCGTCCCCTTCGTCCGAGCTACCCATCATGGAACGGCGGTGGTGATTCCCTTGGGCGCTCGTTTCAGGTCGTGAGCCCAGAGAATTCAGAGTATGTAACACATAGTTTATATACAGAACATAGATGATACCATCTGGTTATTTAACATAGCCATGGAAAATCACCATGCTATTAATAGGTAAACCCAGGTAAACCATCTATTTCTATGGGCCATTTCCCATGGTCATAACCAAATGGTATAATACACATGATAAACATTAATACACATTAATAAACATTAATAAACTGTTCACATCGAAACCGGTAAGCCCCAAAACTAATCATACTAATCATTTACTAATCCGTAACCCTGATCATCTGCATCGTTGTAAACCGGTGCAATCCGTAATCCGCAACCCCTTCATGTGTGGAAAACCAATGCAAGAAAACAGAGTTGATAGTGCGGCCCTCGGATAGTTTTATTATGTTTTATTCCTTTGCTGGGGGGCAAGAACATATAAGAAACAGGTCATCGAGCCACAGCTTGCTGAAAGATCACTAGTGATACCAAAACGAAGTGGTACTAACTGGAGAGCACTCATTTTGGGATCATAGGTGCGCACACAAACCTTTCACCGAGGAACCTCAAATACACACATCTGTGCTTATAACCGAACAATTAAGAACGGTACCCGTTTCAAGCTAATATGCACGTTTTAGGGGGTGCGGGGAAAGGTACTGGTGATACGAAAACGAAGTGGTACTAACTGGAGAGCACTCATTTTGGGATCATAGGTGCGCACACAAACCTTTCACCGAGGAACCTCAAATACACACATCTGTGCTTATAAGCGAAGAATTAAGAACGGTGCCCGTTTCAAGCTAATTTTAGGGGGTGCGGGGAAAGGTACTGGTGATACGAAAACGAAGTGGTACTACCTGGTGAGCACTCATTTTGGGATCACCAGTGCGCGTGCAAACCTTGCACCAAGGATCACCAAACACATCCTTGCGCCTTGCCTACAACCTTGAAACTACTTATGGTGCCCAAGCTAACAGAAAAAATTGAAGCTCAGGGAGTGCTAGGAAGGGCACTGGTGATACCAAAACGAAGTGGTACTACCTGGAGAGCACTCATTTTGGGATCATAGGTGCGCACACAAACCTTTCACCGAGGAACCCCAAATACACATATCCTGCCGACCAATTAGTAGCGGTACCCATTTTAAGCCAATGTCAACCTCAAGTGTTTTGGAGCGCTCAATCTCACCCCTTTGCAGCCCAAGGGCTTTGGCAATACCTACATTAAATGACGATTTCCCATATCAACAATACTCATTGATACCCCTTATTGAAGCACTTACATCAACGTATATAACCTCGCGGTAAGCAAACGAAACCGTTGATCTTTGGTAATTACCAGAAATAAACCGTAAATCCCAAATTCCGTACTCCGGCTACTCATTAGGGCCTAGTTTTGATGTGAGCAGATAAACAATATATAATTATATATATACACATATTATATAATTATATATAGAAGTCCATATATACTCAATCCACCGAAAGTACACTGGCGCTGGACATCATGTTACTGTTTCTTCCTAATCCCAGTAGCAACTGCTAACCCTGCATAATCCAACTTCAGCCTCAGCGAGGTTGCTCACCATGGATGGATTTCGCCCAGTTCCATTGGTCCGATTGCCTCCTTGTGATTGGAAATAGCCAATCTTAGATACTCTTGTAGAAATCCATATTTTGAATATAGCTGGTTCAATTAATATAGTATATATATATATTTTTATTTTGAAGGCTTATAGCGGGTTCAGTTATGTTACTGTAAGTCAATATATCCCCATTTACAGCAAAGAATTGCCGGTCCGCAACCTTTGCTTCACTGCCCATCCGGATTGAAACAAAGCCACGGAAACGCACTTCAGGTGTGCCATGGGCTGCGGCATCAGCACCAGGCCTGGTCGATAGTCGATGAATCTGCGCAGTTTCAAAAACCTGATGGGCTATACGTCTGATTCCCAGGGTTATCGAACAAACACTAACACTAATATATGATCAATGATTTAGTACATGTATGTGTATAGAATATATATATATATATGTATATGCAGGTCTGAATTTGCACACGTGTCACAAAGTGACATTTCACCAATGGAGATCAACGTAGAGATGGTAATAGGTAGTATGATCCCCAATACAGTTGCGCCTCTCGCCTTTAGCCAACGCTTCAGCGTGCAGCAAACGAAGGGCCTGGAATCAGCAACTTCTACCATTCCGTGAATTTTCGATGGCAGCATTTGATCAAAACCTTGTCTCAACTTGAAGGTCTCATTCTGAAATTTAATAGAATCCATTTCAGTATGCAAATTTCGCAGATTCTACCCTCTGGTAAACTAACATAACTATGGAAAATCACCTTTTTTAATGGGAAAATCCACTATCAATGGCCATTTTCAATAGCTATGTTAGTTTACCAGAGGGTAATCCAACATTTTGGCACATGACAATCATGTCATACCCATGGCACATCCCATGGCACCCAAACCAGCCACATGATTCGATGGCCTTCTGAAACAACTCATCGGCAGCCTGCCGATTCGGCTGCCAGGGGATTGGTTTACTGTTCTGTCTTTTGGGTTGCCATGATCAACCTCAAACTTGCATAAACTTGCTATGTTCAAATGCTGAAAAAAGAGCTTCAAAATCTTCAAGAACATGGCTCTAATTCTGAAAGGCTGACACATGTTGGCACATGATATAATTCTACTACTAGGACCAATCTTGTGTGATGCGCAGCAGATTTGCCGTGGGCGATGGTGCAAAAAGACATGCACCACATTTTATGTGATTTCAAGAAAGATTCACCAACAAAGTTCTGGTGAATTATTGAACAAAATTGAAACAACAATTCAAAAGAAATCATCAATTTCACCAACATGTTTGAAAAGAAACAAGTTTTTTATTCACGAAAGATTTCACTCGCTAGCAGCATGTGTTCAGATTTTTTTTTGGCAAACGAGTCATCACATCACGTACGTTGAAGAAACAAATTCATCTGTGTGGCCCAGAAAAGTCATACACGTTAGAGGAATGTACCCTCTGGTAAACTAACATAACTATGGAACATCACCACGCTATTAATGGGTAAATCCACTATCAATGGGCCATTTTCAATAGTTTTCTGTATGTTTACCAGAGGGTAAAGCAAGAACCAATACATCTGGTGGATTAGCCCTCCTTGGAAATCCTGGAAGAGCCTGATCATTTTTTTGTGCTTGCTTGGCAGCAGACAAATGGTAGCCTGATTATACACAACTATTAGCTTAAATCCCATTAAAGTCCCATTATTCAATTAAATTGTGTCTTTGAAACCGGAACGTCGTGTTTGCTTGTAGACTTATTTTTTGGGTGGGTTAGATCCAACTCTTGCTGGAAAAATCATCCATCTTCGGGTACATATTCCGACTTTTGGACATATCATATCCATATCAGGCCCATATCACATTGGGTTGATTATATATATCATATATCTCATTCTTGTCACCATCATTAATCTCCTCATCATTCCCATTATATCCCCATCATATCCCCCTAATAACAACCTTTTCATTCGATCAATTAGTTGCTTCACAAGAACCTCCCTTTCAAAAATCCACCATGTTCCCAGGAATTTCCCATATCCCATCTCAAACATTCTCCCAAAAACAATTTGAAAAGAGCCGTTTCCCATCTGTTCCATGATTTATATAAAGCCATATAAAGCCATCTAAAGAATATCCCATCTGTTCATTTAACACATAGCCATAGCCATGGAATCCATGGCCATGGCGTGAGTTCCATGGATTTTTTCCCTGTTCCCCAGTTAGGTGATGAAGTCGCGAACTGTGAAATGACCAGCGGGCAACGTATTACTTGGAGGATCGTCCCATTGAGTTTTTGTGGTGAATATCCCTGGTTTGTACATCCCGATTCGTGGCTAAAAAACCACCAAAGTACCCTCTGGTAAACTAACATAACTATGGAAAATCACCATTTTTAGTGGGAAAATGTATATTTTGACCAATGCTGAACTCAGACAAATATTCACCAGCTACGAGTACTCACCGGGACGACAAGCCATTTACAAGTGGAATACTTACTAAAGCCGGGGATTTCCCATCCCCATTCAATGCGGCTGGTAGTGGAAAATCCATGGGATTTTTTCCATCTAGAAATGGGTGGTTTCCAAAAACATAGATGGTTTAATCAATGGTAAAACAATGGATTTTCCAGAAATAGTTTTTCCAATGGGTTTTCCATGGTTTTCCCATGGTTTTACCCACATGAAAGCCATTTCAGCCACGGCTCGGCCTGGTCCAGTCCTTCGGCGGCCGAGCCCATTCGGGCGCTCACAGGCCGTGCAGGATCGAGGCTGCCCAACGCTCCTAGCGCTTTACCAAGGTGGAAAACCATGGGAAAACCATGGGAAAACCATGGGGAAACCATGGGAAAACCATGGGAAAACCATGGGAAAACCATGGGAAAACCATGGAAAACCATGGGAAAACCCATTGGAAAACGATGGAAGATATTCGGACACATATGGGAACATATGGCATGTGGAAACATATGGGAAAATCTATGGGAAAGTAAGGGTACAATATGGATTCATATTGGAAAACATTGGAGAAATATGGAAACACATAATCTATAACTAGGAGATTGATGAATCGTTCAAGCATGTTTGAGTGTGACAACTCCACTTTGATGTGCATCACAGTTATGAAAGTGGATATCGCATGTTGATTGATTCTCACTCCCACTGAAAAAGTGCATCCCAGAAAGTATGTAATCAACAAAGCCGCGGTAAAATCTCAATACAATCGGATTAAAATCATGGTTATTGACCACAAATCAAATGTTGATGCCCATCTACCCTCTGGTAAACTAACGTAACTATGGAAAATCACCATTTTTAATGGGTAAATCCACTATCAATGGCGATTTTCAATAGCTATGTCAGTTTACCAGAGGGTAAATATCAACATGACAAACCATTTCTGGATCCCATGTTCCGACCAGACAAGTTCTGAAAATATCTGAAGAGATCGCAGCAAAAAGTGAGGCAGCACTGGGAAGAGATCAGAAGATTGAAGGCAGTGACTTATACTGGTTGGTGGTATACCCACTCCTCTGAAAAATGATGGAGTTCGTCAAATGGGATTATTGTTCCCAATATATGGAAAGTCATCAAAGCCATGTTCCAAACCACCAACCAGTTATACTCCCTGGTCAACCATGAACAATCCCCAAGGCATAGTTCGATGAGTTTCGCATATAAATGGCCCATGAATCGGGGGCTGTCCTATTGCTACCTTTGACGACCAGGTCGGGCGAAAGGTCGTAGTTTGATACGCCAGGAACACGGCAACCCTGGGGAAAACTGCTAGATTTCGCACCACTTGACTCATCATGGGGCCATGGGGGCCATGATGGGCCACAGGGGGTCAGAAAAACTGGTGAAAAAGCCTCAGAAGCCTCACCCAACCCCTCTCCTTGCATGTAACCTGACAGCTGGGGTGGCCCCAGGACAACTAGCAAGCATCAACCGGCTGTGGATGGTGCACACTTCATGGGGAACGAGGCAAACTGCCTGGGAAATGATCATGACATCTCCGCAAAAAGGACACAAAAAGCTTTGAATACACTCTAAAAGCACATATCTATTCAATCTATTCCTCATGTTTGATGCCTTATCCATCCAATCTGATGTTCCTCCCTATTAAACAGCTAAAAGAGTTGGCTTTCCCAGTTGTAAATCCATCATAATCCATCCATTCTGGAATCCCAATTTCTCCCAATTTCATAGATACAATTCCATTACTGAACCAGGCTTTGGTTTGGGTGCTATTCACTTATATAAATCACTTAGAAGGAAGAGATAACCTCATCCACCATGCTGGCGTCATGCCAGAGCACCTGACATGCGAGACACCAAGCGAGCCACCGAGCGAAGAGACGCACTGAAGTCCTACCAAGGCTTGGGATGGCAACAAAAAATGGTGATATAATATTATAACATAATATATATATATATTATATTATATATATATTATATATATTATATATATTATATATATTATATATATATATATTATATATATACAATATATAATATACTATATATAAAATATATATAATATATATATTATATTATATATATTGTATATATATATATATTATATTATAATCAACACAAGGTGGTGATTGATGTGGTTTTGACTACCCAAAAAATTATTAGATCTGAGATTTAACTGACTTGAACTGACTTGGGGATGGGGATAGAACCAACCAAAATGAAGATTTGTGGGACTTTCATGGAATTTAAGCAACCAAACTTGAGATCTTAAATTAATTTAAATGGGATTGTTCAGAAAATTCCAGGCGAGCGTAACACACCTATGAATCATGTGGGTGAAGCCCAAAACGGCTGAATTTACGGGTCAATGCGGCAATGGTGACCCGGAGGGGCAATCAAACATTCTCTCTCATATGGTAAATGATGGCAATCATATGCTAACATGACTGGGGTATGTATATATATATATTGATGGGATCCATGTCACCATGCAAAAATATATATATATATATATATCTATATTGATGGGATCCATGTCACCATATATAGACCATGAAAATAGCATACATGGATCTTATAGCAATTGAACATCCCTGAGTGAGATTTCTGGAGGTTTCGATCAGGAATCCAACGAACATAAGCCACCGGTTTTTCCAGCCATGACAAGGATGACACTGGATATGCACGGTGCACGGTGTACCAAGTTATCACAGTTGTGGCCCTTAACAGATATACATGGGATACGATGGGATTAGAATGATGTATAACCAACTAGTTATAGGAGGTATATGTCCATTTAAAACTGTTTTCATGGCCATAACTGCATGAAATTATTGGCGGAGCTCCTCAGTGCTGCTGCTCACGCTGCTGTCGTCCAACTCGCTGGTGGTGCTGGCGTGGCAATGGATGAGGATCGACACCAAGCACCAAGGGGATTTGTGCATGCCATCAATCAATTAATCATCAATGATATTAATATGTTATGATACACTAACCATCATCAATCAATTAATCATATATTAATCAATCAATTTACATTAATATGTCATCATGTATATGTAATTATCAATTCATCATCATCAATCTACCCTCTGGTAATTTAACATAGCTATGGAAAATCACCATTTTTAATGGGAAAATCCACTATTAATGGCCATTTTCAATAGCTATGTAACAAATTACCAGAGGGTACATTACCCTGACAAATCTTCGGTATGTGCATGCCATTTTAACTAGAAGGTGCAACAATGATCAGAGCCACGGCTGGGTAGTTGAGCAGCAAAAGGTGGCGCTTGACAACACATTGCGGCAACGATGGCAACAAATTTAGCACAGCTGTGTCTGAAAATCGGGGAACATGATCCTGCACTTATTATACTTATGATACTTAATGATACTTATGTACATTTTGATGGGGAACATGATGATAAACCATTGTTTGTTTTGGTTTTTCGGTTTTCCCAGCTTTCCCATGTTTTCCCTAATTCCTTGTCAGAAAAAGCAACATACACGGAAACCATGTAGAACCTTGGACCTGCCTGACAGCTACTATAGTCTTTCCTAGTCTTTCCCCGGCAAGCACCTGATCACAATGCTGGTGAGCCATCGAAGAAAGGCTGAAAACCTGGCTGAGAGCCGTTGTTGGTGACCTGCCGATGTCATGCGCCCATTTAAAATGTGGGTAAAAAGTAAAAAATGGTAAAAAAAAAATCACCAAACGCTTCCAAATCGATATTTATATCATATAAGTGTGGACTGCCAGAGATGACTGTGTAAGTATCCAAGATCGTATCCGAGATCTGCCGGAAATAATCAGCAATGAATTATATGTAGAAGTATCCCAGATTTTCCCTTGCCAGCTTGGACTGCCAGAGGCTGTCAGAAAAACTATATTTTTTGATGAAAGGAAATCATCCACAGGTAATTTGACATAGCGGAACATCCTGAATCTCCGCAGAGCTGGGGTCCCTAAAAATTTGCGAAGTTACTGGGTTCCCATTGCAGAGCTACATCATGTAGTGTATAATTACCTGTACATCAATGCCAGGAGTTTAGCACAACATTAAGGCTAACCACCCTTCGTTTTTTTTTGGGGGGTGCTATGCTATACTTTTGTGACACTGGTCATCATCACAAGTGCCACTACCCTATCCGGCTGGCTTGGATAGTGGAAATGATACCATCCGCTGAGTCGTTTCAAAGAAATCTGCAAATATACAGTCAACCGCGTTCATCTGACATAGAGACATAGAGATGGTAATCAAACATAGTAAACAGACAGAATGTGGTAAACCCAATCATGAAAATCCCCAAATGGTAGTTGTTTATGGGGTCACTGAGTATACCACATTACTTCCAAATCAATTCCAAACTCAGCTGACAAGTTGATGACCCCCAGGTCCCCAAAACATCTCCTGAGTCGCCAACCTTTCCATACTGCTACAGAGGGCCCACTCGCCCTGTTGCCTGGGCACTCTTCAATGCTGATTTCACCAAACTGGTGAGCAAAATCGGATGCTATCTGTGCCGCTCTAAGCTAATACCTCTCCTAAGAAAAACGATGCTTGGTTGCAGTTTGTAGGTTTTTCCGACATCAACAAAACACACCAGTATGCCATTTACCGCCTCTGCATAGAATCATGTTTCATCGTCATGAGTCTGATAGCTGAGTACACATTGTTATTGAATTGTTTGTGCGACTAATGTTTATAACATGCTCGGCAATCATGAGCTATATACGTCATTTCAGGCCGTTGACTTTTGAATATCAATATCTCCAATCATATAAATGCTTAAGATGATCTTGATATTCATTGTCACTTAGATTTTAACCTATATATATAATTCTATATCTACAGACAGAGGTACTTGGTGGCTCATCCCACGGCTCGTAAGTGGGTTAGTTCACCCCAGTGATTTCAGTGGATTAACCCTACTTATTAATTTACTTATCCCATGTAAATCACCATGGGGGTCCCATGGTGCCATGGTGCCATGGTCCCGCCTCACAGACCAGCTGGGGGCACTTTGAAGCAATCCTCCCAGCTCCGAAGCCAGGGCCTGCCAGGTTTTAAGAAAATCCCCAGAATTTGACCTCGGTAAATCAGAAATCATCCGGCCTGGTTTGGTAAATAACAATGGCCCATAGAAATAGATGGTTAATGTAGGAAAATATGGGAAAATCAATGAGAATCATCTATACCCTCTGGTTATGACTAACAGGGCCAGCCATGGCCCATAGAAATAGATGGTGAATATGGGAAAATATGGGAAAATCAATGAGAATCATCTATACCCGGCCTGGTTATGACTAACAGGGCCAGCCATGGTTATTACCATGTCCCTAATCGAAATAGATGGTTTACCGAACTGAAAAAAGCATGGTGGTGATTTTCCATGGCGAACTGTTAAATTACCAGAAGGTATAAATCTGGAACTTTCTATAAATATTGGAACATGTTTGGCTGGATTGATAAATAGGGAAAAATCATGACAAATCCATATTTTCGGTTGTTTGCCATGACATACAATCAAATATAGGGTGTTCCTGTACATGTTCATATTTTTTCCCTTCAAGCAATTCTGGGAGTAAAGAACAGAACACATCCAAAACTGTTTCTGGTGACACATATCATTGTTTGGATGAGTGATTGAAAACATGCAACAACTTGATCACTGGTACACAAGGCTTGGAGGCTGCTCAAGTTCTGCCAAGATTACCCAATTCCATTGGTGAAAAACGGCCATGTAACAAGTGTTGAGCTTAAAAACGACCCTGTCATAAGTGGTTCAGAACTCAGCAACATGAATCTACACCATCTACAGATAGATTTATTGAAATCCCCCCGGGAAAAATATGTAGATGTGGAATTTCCAGTGTGGTTTCCCTGGAAATATGATGTACACATACAAAAAAAAATAATTCAATACAAATGCATCATCAACACATAAATAAATATATACAGCAACTAGCTAACAAACAAACTAACTAACCAAATAAGTAAACACACAACAAACAACAAACAAACAAACCAACTAATTAACCAAACCACCTAACTAATAAACCAACTAACAAACCAACTAACCTAACCTAACCTACCTACCTACCTACCTAACTAACTAACTAACTAACTATGTAACTAACTAACTAACTAACTAACTAACAAACTAACTAACCAACTAAACTAACAAACAAACTAACTATACTAACTAAACTAACTAAGGAACTAACTAGCTAACTAACGAACTAACTAGCGAACTAACCAACTAACTTAACTAACTAACAAACTAACCAGCTAACTAAACTAACTAACTAACTAACTAACTAAACAAACAAAACAAGACAAAACAAAACAAAACAAAACTAATCTAAACTACACTAAACTAAACTAAACTAAACAAACTAACAGGTCGCGCCGTGTCTGGGCCATTGGGCACAAAGCGCCTTTTTTTCACTAGCGAGCGTTGCACACTTTGCCAATGCCTTTTTTCCAGTCAAAGAATGATGCCACAGCCATTGCATAAATAAATGTGTAAATATATATTATGTATACATATGTATATATCTATAAATGTATATATGTCTATCTGTCGATATGTCCATATGTATCTATGTATATATGTATAGATGTACAAATGCATAGATGTATTTATGACTATACATATAAATGTATGCATGTACATATAGATATATATATATATATGTATATGTAAACACATTTAAGAACCTTAAGATGCCCCCCCCAAGAACGTTAACATGCCTCCCCCACCACCCAAGCCCGATGTTCACAAAGCATAGATGACGTGAGCAAGTTGACAGGAACGTTAACATGCCCCACCCCCCCCAAAAAAAAACATAAAAAGGCAAAAAAAGGTTTCGTTACCAGTGGCCACAGCACGGCGTTGGGAACTAACAAACAAACAAACTAACTAACTAAATAACTAATTAACTAACCAAATACATATACACATAACTAACTCACTAACTAAGCAACCAGCTAACTAACCAGCTAACTAGATAAATGGATCAATAAATAATCTCATATTAGATTACTAATGGCTAACTAAACAACTAACCAAGGAAATACCTACTGAACAGCAACGACTTAACGAAGAATTACCGCGCACCTCTGCCGCAACCAGCACTGCGCCCTTCTGCGCCGTAGCGGCAAAGGGCTCAGGGGCCAAGAGGGCCTGGGCATGGCATGGCCACGGCATCGAATTGATCCCATCTGACCCAACCTCGGTTCGCCAGGTGGGCTCCAAGTTCTTCAACAAGGCTTGGACCTTGCTGGGAGCAAAATGGTGATTTAATAAAGGAAAATCATGGGAAATCTGGATATATAGGGGATTTAGGTGGGGATTTAGATGGATATATAGCTGATTTGTGATAGCTAAGTTGGTTTATGATATTTTACAATAACTCTAATTCCACTAGAATTTGGGGTAGATATATCGAACTAGTTAATGGGGTTAGAAACCAACTTATAACTGGGGGAGCACGACATTGTGGGAAAAAACGCATACTGTAAAGATTCAGAAAAGTTAATTATTTTTTGCTACTATATGTTGGATTGGATCAATCAATATCAATCAGTTTTCCACTTTTTTGAGGGGGATGCTATAAGTCCTTATCAAAATCAGACCAAACTAGGAGGGAACAGTTGTTCTATCTTTTTATGAGACCCGATAACTGTTGTCCCAGGACGTCCCTGGATGATGATGACTCAGAAATGTACACATACATAGGCAGGCGCAGTGCGCTTGTGGGGTGGTGCGATGACATCTGAATTGGGCAATGCTCGCTTAAGACAAATGACCCTTGGGTCTTAGGTTCATCAACATGAAGGTATCGGTATACGGTATCACTCCTATGAATAAGTTTGGCACTCTTTGAAGGTCATAAAATGTTATAAATTATCACCAGTACAATTATGTGATCCACTTTTGAGTTGACCTCAACTTCCAAGTGGTTTGTTCAGCTGCGGAGATGAAGTTTCATCTTTTCCCCGCCAACAACAAGAAAGATGAATGGGCATTTTCGCTTATTACCACTGTCTTGAACTGACTGTCATCAACGGCTTGTGGTGTGGGCTGTGTTCTGTAGCGAATTTCCGGTCTCTGGCTCTTCAGCCACCCCCCATCCCAATCATTAGACCACGAAAAGTCACCATTGCAGGCGCAGTCTTTGGTAGAACGTCCGGCAACTCCTACAGTAACCATGTAGAGTTGGTGCTTGGTGCTTCATAGAATATACAGCTGTAGAGTATATAAATGTATATCTATATAATAATATATAATATACCCTCTGGTAATTCTGGTAATCTAAGCTGGCAACGAACAGTCTCTATCTGTAGCTTATTCTGCATTGAAGGTGCTTTTTTCCCGTTGCAATGCTTGGTTCTCAAGAGGTACGTGTAATTACTTGCGACTGTGACTATGTGATATGGTCAAGACTAGGGCATCAACGAAAACCGGGAAAGATCTGGCGGATTGGTTTGCCCCATTATTCTAGGCAGGTTATAGCCCCAATGTGGGCCGCGATTTGGGTAACCACCACGTTGGATTTGACTAACCAACCAATACGAACTGACACATTGCGATGTCATCATCGTTATGGTATGTCACATTTAGTCAAATATTTTACGGTAAATTTTGCATCGTCAATAGATTTTTCCATATTATGCCTCCCCATCATCGGTACAACAAACGAATGCTAGGCTGGTGCAATGCACACCATAGAGTAGACGGCCTACCTACCCTTGTCCTTCAACCACAAACAGTATCTGGGGCATGGTCGAAATATGTCGAAATATCCTTGGCAACTTCTTCCGACAGGCGTTTGCCATCTAGTCTCTGTTGGCAGCTACTTTGGGTTGCAGTTCTGCCAGTTATAAGTTGATATATATATATATATAGCTGAAACGATAGAGGTTATATTCCAACTTATAGTGGGCATTAACATGGTTTATACCCATTAAAAAAACACCAGTCCGAGCACCCCCCCTTAGTAGGTTACATATCCCATTATATACTCCAAAAACAAAATCCAATTTAATCCCATTTTATAAAGCACAATATTTTTCTTGGGATACCCAACAACGTAGTATGAATATCCATAAAATATCGTACAGATCCTCTGATAAAACCCATAAAATAACCACCTTGCCTTTCCCCAGAAGTGATAATTTCTTGGGCCTTTTCCCAGGATCTCCGTACGGCGTTCTCCTTGGTTTCTGGAGGCTGCTCAATGCCACCCCCACTTGCGTCGCCCGGCAGCAACCTCGACCCATCTTTTTTGGGCGGATGGGCAAAAAAAAACAGCAACGTTGTTGGGGCTGTGGATATTCATTGGCTATATAAAGTAATCAACTATATCATATATATATACAGTTATATACATTTATAATCAACTACAGTGGGATGTTAACAATATATTATATAATAATGATGGATATGACTCTATGACATATAAACGTGCATGTTTATCTTTGGTACTGTATATGTCTATTCAATTCAATTGATATATTGTCATTTATTGGATATGTGATCCATATATTAGAGGGATATTCACATAAGATCTTATCCCCCTAATATCAAAACCCCCATTCTATGGTCCCTAAATATGTTTTCCAATCCCCTATTAAAACATTGTTTCTGCGGGTTGTTGAATATGAATGGGGGCAGGTATTAGTATTCCCTTCCACATATTGACAAATGTTCAATGATTCCTCTATCATGCCCCTGAAGATCCTATATCAACAACTGTTTTTGGAGGGAGTCAACCCCTATCCAATTAGTTCTGGGTGTTGTCGGATCATACTTTGAATACAGAATATAATTTATATAATATAAATTAATATAATGCTTTAGTGATGTGGACAATGAAGCTTTGGGGCAACATCCTTGAGGGCTGCATCCCCCTTCGATGATGTTTCTGGACAAATCCTCGGATCCCAACGGGCCATTAAGGCCACTCTTGACGGCTGACATTTATGGTCATGTGCCTTGAGATCACGACCAATGTGGGTTAGTTCACCCCAGTTATATGTGGATCAACCCTACAAAAATCATCAAAAATCCCATATCAATCACTGGGGTGAACTAACCCACAACCACGAGCCGTGGGTAGTTAACCACCAAGTACCAATCATCCAATTTTTTTTCAGACTTTGTGAAGCAATGGAGCAGTAGCCATCACCGATGACTCCGGCCTGCTGGGCGCATTGTGAGGCAGCCTGTGTCCAAGCACAGTGGACCGGTGATTTTCCAAGCAACGACCTCTCAGACCTGTCAATTGAAGAGCTAAGAGGATGGCACAACAATCCTTTTCCCCAATATTTAATACCCCTGCCAAAAAAAAATAAATATAATATATATACATCTGGACCCCCATTTGTATCATTTTCATTCATTTTCTTTGTTCGGGGTTCAATTCTGAAATTCCTACTCGACCACATGTGCTCAACTTTAAAGTGTTCGAATTTCTGGTCAAAATATTCAGGGCAAGCTCGGAACGAATTGCATCCATTTGCCAGATATGGTGACCAAGTGAGCCAAATTCCAGCAAATCTTCATGTGGAAAAATCGATCGACTCCAAATTACCACTAACGTTTTTTCAATTTGCGGTCATTTGCGGAAATGTATGGAAATGTGCGTTCGTTTTTGCGGAAATTTGCGCTCGTTCTGCAGGTTGCAATTTGTACAGCTTAGGCTTAGACCCAAAAAAAATGATCGCTTTTAGCCCAAGCCGCATTGGTTGAATCAAGATTAGCCCAAATAGCTCTACAGGGACCATGAAAAATGAAAAAACATGTGATTCCTGAAGATTTGTGCATTTGGCATGTTCTAGGAATTTGTGATTGCTTTTAGAAACGCAGTACGAATTGCTAAATGCAAAAGAAATGCTACGAACGAGGCTACAGGCATGTAGTTCTATAGATAGTATATATATATACATAATGAATATATGCTATCAAACAGTATCTGGCTGAATTATAGTAATTCACTAACCAGAAAACACTGTTATCATGTAGCCCTCCGGGGATAATTCCCCGAATCCTAACCATTATTCCAGTGACATCACAGTAAAGTCATTACATATAATTCATTACTGGTTGGCGGTTTCAATAATGGTTATAATAATAATAATGATAATGAAGAAGCATAAGTTTGAAACCATTATTATATCCCATGAATATCTATGGATCAAAATAAATTCATCCAAATGATGAGTGGAAACAAATCCTCCAATATCCTCCAATCAGCAGGGCCTACGTCAAAAAACCAGAGGCTATACCCTCTGGTAATGACTCACAGTTCGCTATTGAAAATGCCCATTTAGTTCATTGATTTACCGAACTTAAAGATGGTGATGTTAGCTTACCAGAGGGTAAATATGGCCTAATAAACAATGATGGCCTCATGTATCAATCCATTTCTTTGGGAATGGTTATCCTCTCCGCTCTGCTCCGCGGTACCTCTGCACCGCTTGCGCCAAGCGCGAAGCATGCAGGAAGCACACCTGTCGGAATTTGTGGGGGCCCAAAATCCAATGAAACTTGATCATAAGGTGTGGGGCAATCCGAAAAGATAACATAACATATAGTGTTCTTCATATTCAATCTATACAGCATATTACTAGTAAGAATTTTGCTTAATCAATCTGAATCCCATGTTCTTCATCATCAATTACGCACAATTATGGGACAATTCAGTTCAGTCCAATGTGACATCTCAATTCCAATCAATCCTATAGGATAAATCTAGCATCAACCTTGATCTGAAAAATCGATCTATCACCAATCTATAGAAATTATTAAGGCATTTGAACCATCATTTCCCTATGGACTGAGACACCAGCATCACCAGCTCGTGCAGGGCGCGAGCAATAAAAACGGCCTCTTCACAGTCGCTGAAAGACGTGTACTTCATGGCCTGACCACCCGGGCTGGATCTCATGTTGATGGGAGAAAAACCATGGATTTTGTTGGCAAAAAAATTGATTTCAACCCCCATAAAAGTTTTATAGGGTACATATATATATATATATAATTATGTGTACATATAGTAATCATCCCATAAAAATGGTTTCTATAGGGCTTCTCCCATTGGATTTGACAAACAAAATATGGGATAATTGATGCATCCATGCTATGATAGTTCTTTTTTTGGTGGAAAAAAATGGATTCCCAGTCCAGGGATGATTTTTCAGCAAGATTTTAGGTATATTCCCCCGAACTAATCATCAACCATCAGGGGTTTTGTGCCCAGGTATGCTCAGTTTATGTTGTTTACTAAGCTGTTTACCCTGAAACTGGAGACACATACTGTGCAGGTCTAGTGGACCATAGCACTCACAACAAGTCAGACACGCATCTTTTAATCTTGTGGAGATGAGACCGACTTGAATAAAACTGTACCAAAACATGCCCAGGGAATCTATAGCAGAATGCTTCTGGATTATTGCATTCGTTCATAATATGATGATGATACTGATGATCAATTGATATTGATGATTGATGATGATTGCATTTCTCCTTGTCTTTTCTTCCTTGGCATCACACAGCCGTATTGCACAGAATTTCTATGCGATTCCTGGCTGTCCTGGCTGGGTCCAGGCCCATAATCCGTGGAATGATCAGCTATGATCAGCTAGTACCCATGAGAAAATGTTGGTAAATGTTGTAACTTTATCAGTTGTAGTCTGGTTGCTCAAAACCACCATTCTTTCCAGGCAAACACTACCAGTATGTAGTTCGGAATCCGTAGCATGTCTAAAAACTAACTTGTGAATCTTGAAAACCAGTCACTTATAGTAATTAATTACTATGCATTGTGAGACTTATTGTATAATAAATAATCTTTTTTTGGGACAAATTCAAAGTAATTTTCTAAAATACACCAGCTACTCAGCTACCCAATTTTCTCCCTTGGCCCCAACGACCTGAGTATATTCCTCCAAGACCTCCAAGGCGCTTTGCCATGGCTCGGCCATGGCGGGATGACTCAGAGGGATGTGGCGCTTAGCCACCGATGCCGAAAAGCCAAACTTAGACACTAAGATTCACTATCTATTCAATATAGATATACATGGATGATCCGATGGGTGTATATATATATATATGATATTATATATATATAAATTGACACTACAAAACTATACAAAACTTAGATTCTAATGACTGATTGATGTGATTGAGCCATCCGAAAATGTTCATTGTGGTGATGATCATCCCAGTAATGACACCAGATGAAACCAGGTGATGTTAAACAAGTGTCTCACTGAAGTGCGTGCAAATAGAAAGCATGCGAATAAGAGAAACGCTGTTTGAGCCCAAACTTGTCTTGGTGTTTGATTGAAACTGAGACACATGTGACATGTTTACATCCTCACTGAACAGGAAGCAGCCAACAATCGTGACCAAAGTCGTTCCCTAAGAAACCGCGGACTTGCTGAAGCAGAAAGTGTCAGTATCCTTCACTACCTTTGCTTTGTTTCAGTCTCCGCTTTCCTATGGACCACTGTCAGTGCTCTCTCTGACCTAGCATTTGGAAGCACTACTGTATTCAGAACTGTCCACTGACAATTGCTGCTTCAACTGGAACTCTCAACTCATGTCGGGAAATTCAGGTAGCTCCAACTGGCTCCCCATGATTTTCGGGATATGGATAGCCAATGATAGCCATTCGGCCATTCCCAACTCACCGCTCCGTGTAGACTTCCTGGCCTGGCCCATCATGTTCTCATAGGCGACCACCACGAAGTCCACCATATGTGGCAGCTCAGGCGTCACCTGCGATGCGGATCACGTTGAATCGAAGGAATCGAAGCTGGTTCCCCACCGACCTATCCATGGTTTGTTGGCTGCCACCTCTGGGTTTCTGGTTTTTTCGAGTACTGGTTGGATCATTCTTGTACCCAACAGTTGGCAAATGGGTTCTGACCCCCTCTAACTGCCCTTCTATATCTGTTGACGTCACGGATAACTCACCATCTGGAAACCATGGTGCTATTTTGTGGACTTTTTCTTTAACGCATTTGCCAATTTTATGTAGTGTAGCTTCTATTCCAGCATTTTTCCAGTAGTGTGGTAAACCCAATTTAAACCCATCCTCAATATCACCACAAATTTCCATTTTTTGGGTGCTATAAACCAATATAAACCAGCCCCAAATGATTCAACTGGTGTTGATGGCGCTCGTAAATTGCTTCCGTCTCGATCCGTCTCGTTCTTTAAAGGCGCGCCTTTTTCTCTTTGAGCAGCTCGTAGATGACGCAGTCACCAAAGCCGAAGCCGCAACAGGGCACCTGCGGCGATCGGCAACACTTGGGACCAAAAATTGGGAGATTTACCAGCGAAGTCTGTCCCGGTTTCCCGCAAATTTCACCACCATTCACCACTGGGATATCATCTATAGATGGGTTTTGTCTGAAGATAGCCTTCAATGCACTAGTTAATCATCTTTTTCCCCATTCACACATTTTGACCCATACCCAAATGTGGCAGTCCGTATGTTTTTATCTTTTCCAGAAGGTTTGGTTGTTGGAACATCGAGCAGTTTTGCTCTCCGTGGAACTGATTCTACATGAGCAGTGGCTGCAAGACACCCCTGTTGGTTGATGCTTGCAACACAGCTCATGAATGAACACATCTTGATGTACAGCATGCACACTAATATGGAATGATAACATATGATAACTCTGTTGGCTCTTTATTTGCGTTGTACACAGCAGTGGATGTACGGTCCTGACTTCACCAAGATAGTGTGAATTGGCAACGGTATCGTGCAGTCCAACGCGGCTCTTTTTGCTAGTAGCGATAGCGATGTAGCTCAAGGGCCCTGATAGCCGAAATGGCAGCAGACACTACATGTGACAACCTGGCCTTTACATGGAGTATCACATACCACAAATTGACACTCAACCTGTTCTTCAGGTGTCACATAGAAATATATACAGCTATGTCTGTACAGGGCATTGCGGAGAAAGAACGCAGTGGTGTTATTACTGCTTCTGTACTTTGTACATGCACTCTGCCAACACTCGAATTATGAAATCTGGTTTCATACTCTTTGTAAGGCAGTCGCTGATCATGGTGTGTGTTGCTATCCATGACAGCTTATCTCCTCCATTCGGATAGATGTCCCATGTTTTCGGTCATCATTCCAGTAGGATTCGTGAATACTTTGTAATTCGATGCCAAGTCTTTTGTCGCTCACCTTCGCCAGGATCTCGGAAGCCAAGTGGTCTGACAATGAGCGGCAATCTGTGAGGGCTAAGTGCGGTACGCAGCTCCTTGCATCAGTTTCCCATGTCCGCATGGATTTGATCTGGCCTTTGAGTTCTGCCAAGACACCTCTGAGCTTGTCCCCTGCTTCGAGACCATGCTGCAGTGAATACGTCTCAGCCTGGAGCGTGCTTCGACACACACGTCGGATCGTGGTAGAGCTGTAAGACAGAGGCATTACTCTGTACGTGTTGCAGCTACTGCTCTTGATCTCTGTGAGGTCTCCAAGAAAGTGACAACGTCCCTGTTGGGAACGGTAGTTCTGTTCATTGGAGAATGAAGCGTCAGTAATTGTGATCAGACCTATCTCATCCCATTTGAGATGTCCGCTTGGAAAACGAAGCCTTACCTGATCACCTTTGTGAGCAAGTTGTACAACTGCGTTTGCGTCGCACAAAGTGCTGACTGTGGCATTTTTGATTGAAGATTGTAGGCGGCTAACTCGGTATGCCAAATCTGGTCTTGTCTGGCGAGCAACCCAAGCGAGTGACCCGGTCACCGACCTAAGTCGTGTGATGTCATCACCTAAAATCTTCTCACTGCCTGGACGGCCAGCGTCAATTGGAATTGGTTTGATCTTCCTGGTGTTATCGACGGTGTCGACGAAAATGTCTCCGTCACCTGAACGCGAAAACTGCTTTCCGCAATACCTGAACTCGTTCACTTCGGTGCTGCCGATGTTGAACTTATTCAGAAAACGTTCGATGACTTCCTTACCTTCGGGCAAGTAACAGTACAAAAGATCGTCAACATGTGTGCACATCAATGCGCATGTATCACCATCGCTCCCTGGAAGAAAATAAAGACCTGGGAAAACCTGTGATGCTTTCATGCCTTCTTTCTTGGCATCTCCATCCAATCGCAGCCAAAATCCGCGACCTGAGTCTGTGAGTCCATAGATTGGTACCCTTACGAGGTAAACAATTCCCTCGTCAACTCCTGGGATGCCACCCCGGGGTTGTCTCATCAGGAGTACCCGGTCCAAAGGTCGTCCTTGGAAATATGCTGATGTCACATCAGCCGAATGCAAGTCGAGCTCATGTGCTGCACACCAACGGCAAATGAGGTTGTGAACCTCAATGTCAGCTGTGGGGCTGTCTGACCTCAGACCGTCACTGCATTCGAAGTTTCCGCAGGAAACTAACCTGCTTTTGTATTGTGGCTGGTAATTTGGATCTCGGCCTTTCTTGTACTGAGCTTTGTCAACATCTACCCATTTGGAGGGTATAATCTGATGTCCCTCAGCAACAAGCTCTTGCACTTGATCCGGAGTCAGTGGCACGACTGCTCCGAAGCTTTCAAACTTTGACCATTCCTGGGCTCGAGAAGCTTGCAGTGCCTTTTGAACCTCAGGTGGCGCTGATTCGAAATGAATGCTTTTCAGGACCTTCTTGCCTTCTTCTACAATCTCATCTTTCCCTGCCATAAAACATGTGAACATGGCTGTGGACTGTTCAACTTGTTCTACGGACCATTGTGCGGCCGCATTTCGGGCTCGCTCAAAGTGGCTCCTCAGGGATGCTGGAAGGTCATTAAGACTGTCATACGGATTGGGCCATGATTGTGGCCCTGCGGCTTGTGATGGTGTTAGCTGTGGTGCTTCAGCAGAAGGTCTGTCTGCTGAGTCCACAGATTCGCGCCTGGAAGGCATAAGCGATGACCCTCTTTCACTCTCAGGTTGGGTTTCAAGACGGGGTCTCACGTTTCTGTCGGCACGAGGGGCAACACTTGATCTCCGTCTGTCCAGACTGGAACTGGCAGCTTCAATCAGTTCATCTGTACCATTTACTTCATCTGACATGTCTTCACCATCAATGGTGATTTCCGGTACAGTTACCCCTGCATTATCCAATTCTTCATCTTCGGGTATTGGTGGTAAATCCTCATTATTATCTCCCCAATTTATGAATGGTAGTTCAGCTCCCTCGCCTGAGGCAATTGGTTCAGGCGCCTCAAGTACGGATGGCTCATATCCGTCACTTTGGGAATCTGGGGAAATTCGAGCATCCAAAAAGGATTGCTGTTCACCTCCGATCACGACCTCATCAGGAATGACAGGCTGCCCATGGAGAACCGAATGCGCCAATGCTTCACTTGGAGTAGCTACCTTCACATTCTGACTGGCCACTAGTACCGGGACATTTCCACAAAGCAACCATAGGTTTCTCTCTCCCTCATGGCCTATCACCCTACTTGTGGGACTCCATTGTGTGCCTCCCCGCTGGTTATCCCTGCGAAAAGTCACCAAGTCCCCGATTTCGAAGTCTCTCGGAAAAGGTGATGTGTTTTTGGTCATGGCTCGCTGGACACGCTTGGAGCAATCGAGGTATACAAATGCTTTCTGTGCTTCCTGCCTAGCAAGATGCTGCAAAGCAAAAATGCTTTCGGGGTTGTGCTGGGCCTCCAAGGCTCCGAGCTCTGCAAATCGCTCTTCGGACAATGGACTGGGGTCTGAGCGTGGTGCCTTACCCAACACCCACTGTGATGGTGAAAAACCTCCTACACGTGATGCATTATTCTTCACCATGAGCACCTCTTGCAGAACTGACTCAACCTGTTCTCTGCCAAGAGGTTGAGTTTCTTTTGAGACCTTTCGGAAAAGAGCTTTGGCAATGGCCCCGTGGCGCTCTACACGGCCAAGGTTTTCAAGTGCCTCAAGTGGGCTGTGATAAACCTGAATGCCATGATCGTCCATGTACTTTGACAGTACACCACGGTTATGCAACCCTCGGTCACACATCAAGTTCAC